CAACTTCGGAATCTAGGAAGCCATCTTGAAGCTCCCAGAAATTTCAATGTCGTTTTCTTCCTATTGACATGAAACACCCCCTTCCATATAATAGTAATTACCAATTTGATTTGAATGGATTATACTCATTCCGCTCAGTTGGTGTACTGCAGACTCCGTGCTTTTGTTATTTTTTTCTTTATAAGGAGGAGCACTAAACTTAAGTAGCGACTCAATTGTCAGGTGATAAATTGATGCCTTCCATACAGCCTCCCATTTACAGAACTTGTGACCAAGCCCAGGGATGCAAAAGGATTCTCTGGAAACGTTAGCAACCTTTGTTCTCCCTGGAGTGGAGTTCTCCTCTGTCCTGGCTTAGTCCTGATGTCACCTTTCAGCAGTTTCCAAGTGTCCTTTTCGAATGTCCCCTTTAAGATTATGAGCGCCCAGGACTGTCTCTGAATTAGAAACAAATCACCAGTGCGTATACTAGGCCATCTCCCAACAATTGTGATTTAACTTCTACTCCGCTGGAGATATTTTCTGCTCCCACATTTTTTACAAATCGCAGCTCTAGTATGAGAAAAGTGGTGCTTCTCATATCCCAGAAAACAAATTGGCTTTTCAAACAGGTTAATCCTTCCGGTGAGATGTTCCCTCTCTACACTGTGTCGATAAGCTGCCCCAGCAGTTGTACCCGACGTAAAATCTGTGGTAGCCTGTGTGCGCCGCATTTTCGTTACGAATGTTTCGGATTACGGTATGAATGGTACCGTACTGAAGTTAGCTCACAGTTGGCGTCTGCGGCTGGTCTCTCGATACAGTGCAGCATCCAGTCTATTTCTCGCAGCAGTCCTTGACATCTCTGGAGAATAATTTTTCCGATACGATTATAATAGGAATAGCTAAAATGAAATAGCAAAAATAAGAGAGTTATGCAAAGTTGTCCTCATATTTTCAGCGCAACTCTTTATGGATGTTGTTCGCTTCCCTTCCCGTATGGATCAGCCGTTTTAATTCAGCTACCCATTGGTCCGCTGTCCTCTTTTATCAAAGCGTTTTGCAGCCTTTGGGCAGAGCCGCCACAACAGCCTCCTCGTGCAGGCTAAAGGGCTCCAATTTCATTAACGAGTAAAACAACGCAGGTTCAAAAGCAAACGTACAGCTAGTCGCCGTTCATATCTTCCCAAAAACCGTCGCTGGCTCCGTTTGTGTTCATTCTGACCTCTAATTCGAGAAACTATTAGAAATCCATCACATATAATACGTATTCGTAGGGAAGTGGAAGGCGTAAGCAAATCTCATTTTGCAAGAAAGACACCAATCCACAAAAAAATCTTGATTTCTGGCGGGAAATCATCAGCATTTTTCTTCGGCTCTCCTCGTGTTCGACCTCGTCTTTTCTATACATTGTGTCACCTCTGATCCGCGAAGATTCCTAAATTCTTTACGGCTATGGCACTCATATTAAAAATTAGGGGACAATTAAGAAACACAACACATGAAGCCATAAAAAAGCGGAGCGCAAAAGCAGACATACCATTTCGTCCGATCCCCGACTTGGGTTGCGCTCGATTGACGAGCCCGTTTCGCGTTCAGGTCCAGGATTCTCTCCAACAGGAAAACGAAGTCGCACACGGCGAACCTCTCTTGCACATTCTGCTGTGCTGCATACTTTTCTTTAAAAACAAAAACTATCTGAAATTAGAAATAAATCTTTTCACTAATTCATTTCGCAAAGAAGACAGGCCTGTGAGCAAGGAGCGAGCTGTAGTGTCCCGATTTTGGAATGATTACTTCTTGGGGTTCTTCCCTTGTTTTTTGAATGCCTTTTGGCTTGTTATTCCTTTGCTTGCTAGAATAGTGGTTTGTTGTACTATTTATTTCGTTCGTAGAAGAGCCCCGTATCAGTGGCACACGGCTATTTATAGCCAGCCAACTGATACGGGTCGAATTAACCCCTGTCAGGGGTCAAAGTGTCGGAAGGTAGCGCAGAGAGAGACACTCCGCGCGCCCTTCTCACATTAAAATCTTAACAGAAACCTAGTCTCGACATCGAACTGTGACATAAATGTGGTGAACGATAAAAAAAATAGTCTGTATCCCGGTTTAGGGAGTGCAGTTTATTTGGGTATTTTCCCTTTGGTACTTTGGAGCCTTTTGTCTAGTTTTCATAAGCTCGCAAATCGGTGGCTTTGTAAGATTTATTTGGTTCGTACAACAAGCCCCGTATCAGCGGCATACGGTTATTTATAGCCAGCCTAGCGACACGGGGGACAAACAACCCTCCTATCACGGGTCAAAAGGTCGGAAGGTCGCGCAGAGCGAGACACTCCGCGCGCCCCCCCCTCACATCAAAGAAAATTCTTAATAATGAACAACGTCTCGACAAAAAAAAAATGTTGACAACTGTAGCGACACAGTGACTAGTATTTCCTTTTCTTTGCCGAAGTTCCATTCGCCTGCCCATTTGACTGATGTCCTCTGGATGGGCACAACAAGAAGTTGTGCGGAATCATGCACCCTTGGCACACGACGGCGCAATCCGTCCGGTGCGCCACTTTCAGACATCTGGTGCACAAGCCAGATGCAGCTGCCTGCAGTGCCTTGCTGACGGGGTCGGGGTACCTCGGGCAACGGCTAGAAATATGTGGCTCTTCGCCATCGGTCGGTTGGCAGATTATGCACTGCCATTTAGGAGCAGTGCGGTCGAGTAGCAATTGAAGCGCTATTTCAATGCGATCCAATCGACCGCTCGATGACGTCACTACATTAAATAGTGATTCGAATTTGTCATCGAGTGCCTTCATGGCCCTGACGATAGGCGATAGGTGTTGCTCGTTGTCTAGTTCGGCGAGAGCAGAGTGGAATTCAGTCATGTTAGTCATGATAGATGATAACTGATAACCTCTGGTTATATACCCGTTTTTTATCATGGTGGATTATTTGATTTTGATACGTCAACGCTCTTACAGCATTGAAGTAACTCGAATAGATAAGGTCCTTGTGGAGGCAAGAGACGGTGAAAGTAATGTACAATTTGATACCCGATTATTTCTTTCACTATATTCGCTCTAATCTTTATTCCTGAGTAAATTACCTCTGATATTATTATTATAGCAATTGGCCCAAATATATAGGTTATTCCTAATGCAGTTGCCGTCGCAGCCATTGCTGCCACTTGTCTTTAATGATGTTTGCGATCGGTTCCAAGTCTGGGAAGTGGAAATCATTGAGTGAGGGCCATGTATTGGCTTGGGTGGTGTCCTCTTCAAACATGGATGTTGGAAAATATCTCACATGGTAGTGTAACCGGCCATTGAGGTCCAATGGTATTTCTTTTTTATCGCATATGACGAAGCATTTTTGCGCGATAAGAGATTTGCTCAGCTCAAGTGCAATCCTATTAGTTCTGATGGACGGATCGCATTCTTCAGTGAATGCTATGTTTTCGCATTGAATTGTTACCACAGATTCTAGTGTTGTAGTGCTGAACGCAGTGACCTCTGCTCCTTCTTGGCACTTATAGCACCCAGTCACGGTACCTAATTCAACGGAGCATTTTTGTTCGGCTACAAACTCTGCGCTATTGATTAGTAAGCCTGATCTAATCGCAAGTGTAACTTCGCTCTTTGTTGAGTGAGCGTATATCTGCATGTTTTCGTAACTAAACTCCACTTATGGCGTGAATATAGGCAGCCTGTTTTCTATTTCCGCACAAATGTCTTTGATTGAATGTTTTGGGCTATGGCAAGTATGTAGTGTCTTGTAACTTCGGCAATTGCATACCATTTGATTGCTACAATTGACAAAGCTTTTCATTGCCATGATTGCCGTAGGACATCGGTGGTTCAATGGTAGAATACTCGCCTGCCACGCGGGCGGCCCGAGTTCGATCCCCGGCCGATGCACCAAATTTTCCCGGTTTAGGGAGTGTAGTTTATTTGGGTATTTCCCTTTGGTACTTTGAAGCCTCTTGGCTAGTTCTCATGAGCTCGCAAATCGGTGGCTTTGTAAGATTCATTTTGTTCGTACAACAAGCCCCATATCGGCGGCATACGGCTATTTACAGTCAGCCTACCGATACGGGGACAAATAACCCTCCTATCACGGGTCAAAAGGTCGGAAGGTCGCGCAGAGCGAGACAGTCTGCCTAATGCTTCCTCTTCTTCGCCGGAGTGCCATCCGCTTGCCGACTGGTGTCCTCTCGTGGGGCATATCCGATTGATGGACCGCTTTTAGGCATCTAGTACATAAACCAGGTTTTGTTGCCTGTAGTGCCTTGCTTATTGAGTCAGGGTACCTCGGGCAACGGCCAGAAGTATGCGACTCCTCGCCATCAGTCGGCAGGCAGAATGCGCACTGCCTTTTAGGAGCAGTGCGATCGAGTAGTAGCTGGCGTGGCTGTTTCAGTGCGATCCAATCGCCCGCTCGATGACGCCACTATATTGAAGAGTGATCGGTTTTGTCATCGAGTACTTTCATGGCCCTCACAGTAGGAAATAGGTGTTGTTCTTGATCTAGTTCGGCGAAAGCAGTATGGAATTCAGTCGTGTCAGTCATGATAGGTGATTACCGATAACCTCTGGTTACATACACGTTTCTTTATCAAGGTTATCAGATCAAAAGGGTGTACGGGCCTTCATGTCTGAAGGGTGTAGCGGTGTTTGTTAATTGTACATAACATAACAGGAAAGACTATACATATTTATTCTGTATGAGAGGCATATAAGAAAATGGGGGATAAGAGGAAGGGGAAAAGGGCGAGTGAGCAGCGGAAGACGACTGTCCGCCAACTGACCGTTATCAGTTGCCCTCGCTTAAGTAGCGCCTCCAC